ACGTGATTTTCCGATTCCACCCCTCAATATATCTCCGCGCTGAGAACATCTACTCCTAAAGCCCACTATATCTATATATATCGCAAGACTCTACGATAGCTATATATATCGCACTACGTCATACAAGACGTGACGTCACATTTACGCTGTGTGCGCGCGCAGAATCACAACATTGGATATTTCTAGGCCCGAAAATGATGGAAAGACCCGTGAAAGTCTTTTCGCCAGTTGCTCTGTCCCTTTCCCTCCCTACCTCTCTTTCTCTCTTCCTTACTCGTTCAAGCAAGGAAGATAGGCGAATGATAAATGCTAAATAATGATAAGTGATGATTAATTCATTTATAATTAATTATTATCGAGATTCGCACGAATAAATTTGCTATAACCATTTTTTTTAAATCATTAAATTGCAATTGATACGAAAATTAAAATAGTTTTTGATGAATAAATAAGTCCAATTATTAAATTTTTTTCGTAAATATTTCATACTATTAAACCAATTTCATTTTTTTGGGAAATGTTCGTCTCATTGTACTCGATATAGATCATTTTATATTATAGAGCATTATTTTATAGAGCAGTTTTGGTAAAAAAAATTCCTCTCGCTCTGTCGCATCCCTCCACTGAAATGTTTTTGCAGTTATCTCTTAAACACATGGGTTTTTGGAATTTTTCCATTGAATATTATTTGTTGTAAAGCGAATTTGCAACAAAATAATGTCATGGAAAAATTTCAGAAGCCCAATCACTTATTTAATAATTGCGATTAACTGTTTGATAGTTTTTTAAAGTTATAAAAAAAACGATGGGGCGTACGGCATTTTTCCATCAGATACTTTATGTTGCAAATTCGATTTGCGACAAAGAATAATTAATGCGAAAATCCCCCAAACCCTATTGTTTATTAGCTAATTGAAGAAGAGCCGAAAATCACAGCAATCGTCGTTTTCATATCTGAGACAATTGTTTAATTATTAATTATCTCAGCAACCGAGAATTTTACGGGATTTTAGCAGAAAATCTTTTTTCTTGTTAATAAAATTCAACAAAAAAAAGTTCTGTTGATAAAATCCTGTAAAATTCTCGGTTCTCTCTCTCGCTCACGAGTGAACATAGAACGGTATCCCGCTGCCTGAAAGGGGAATCACTCACACATGAGCGCGGAGCCACACGGACATACTGCCACATTATTTTCGGGGGGGGGGGGGGGGGG